GCTGCTGCTGCTGCTGCTGCTGCTGCAGCTGCGCTTCCGGGGGCGCCGCTGCAGTTCGTGGCGGAGCCGTTCGAGAAAGACAAGCCCGGAAACCTGCACGTGGAGTTCGTGCATGCTGCTGCTGTGCTGCGCGGCAGCAACTACAGCATCGGCAGCTGCAGCAGAGAAAAGGCGCAGCAAATAGCGGGGCGGATAGTGCCGGCGTTGGCCACAACAACAGCAGCAGTAACGGGGCTGGTGGCTCTGGAGCTGCTGAAGCTTGCTGCTGCTGCTGCGCGCTGCTGCAGCAGCTACAAGAACGCCTTCCTCAACCTCGCGCTCCCGCTGCTGCTCTTCTCGGAGCCCATGCCCCCCATTCGCCACGTCGACAAGGTGCGGGGTTTAGGGTTTAGGGTTTAGGGTTTAGGGTTTGGGGCGCGGGGGGCGGGGCGGGGGAGCGGGGATTGGAGGGCAAGGGTTTAGGGTTTAGGGTTTGGGGTTTGCCTTTCGTGCAGGACTACGACCCCATTGCCGGAGGGCCCGTCAGAGCCATTCCCCAGGGGTTTACTTGCTGGGACAAGATCGAAGTCGATATTCGTAAACCCTAAACCCTAAAACGCGGTTTCCAGCTCGCGCCTGCCCTAGGGTTTGAGGCGCAGCGCGAGGGTTTAGGGTTTAGGCCAGAGCCTAGGGTTTGGCACTCCAGCTCTCGGGCTTCGCGCCCAGGCTTCAGGGTGTCGCGCCGAGCGACGCCCAGGGCCTAGGGTTTAGGGTTTAGGGTTTAGGGTTTAGGGTTTAGGGTTTGTGCGCAGCGAACTGCCGCGTCAAGGACTTGGTGATGTTTCTGGAAAAGAAATTTAATGTCTCTGTAGACATTCTCTCTTTCGGAAGTTTTTGTCTTTACAACAACTTCTTGCCGAGCCACAGACAGGGGCGCCTCGGAAAGCCAATTGCGCAGGCAAACCCTAAACCCTAAACCCTAAACCCTGAGCCCTGAGCCCTAAACTGTAACTCGTAAACCCTAGGGTCTAGCGCCTGGGACTGCGCGGGGTTCGCTGCCGGCGCCTTGCTGGCTGGTTGCTGCGCAGAGCCAGCGGCTGCACCCCTGCTGCTGCTGCTGCTGCTGCTGCTGCTGCTGCTCACGTGGCTGCTGCTGCTGCTAATGTGTCTTTTGCTGGTGTTGCTCCTGTTGTTGCTGATGCTGCTGCTGGCTGCTGCTGCTGCTGCTGACATGACTGCTGCTGTTGCTCCCACTGCTGCTAACGCTGCTGCTGCTGCTAACGTGCCTGCTGCTGCTGCTGCTGCTGCAGCTGGTGGAGGAGATTACGAAGGCCCCTCCCCCGCCAACTTTGCTGCTGGAGAGCAGCTGCAACAGCAAAGAGGACTCAGTGGACGTGCTGCTGCCAACTATTGCTCTGAAGACTACAGTTCAAGCCAAACCCTAACTGCTGCTGCCGCTGCTGCTGCTGCTGCTGTAGGAGCAGCAGCAGCTGCTGGCTCGGCTGCTGCGAATGCTGCAGCCACGCAAAAGCAGCAGAAACACTACCTCCTTTTCGCCGTTTCTCCTACTTGTGCTGCTGCTCTATAGCAGCAGCAGCAGCAACAGCAATTGAGCTGCTGCTGCAGCCCCCTCTTAGTAGAAAGAGACCTTTGTTGTTACCATCAAGTTGCAGTGCTGCTGCTGCTACTATGCGCCTGCTACTGCTGCTGCTGCTGCTGCTCTAACAGCAACATGGACAGCCGATGAGAGAAAAGCAGCAGCAGCAACGGCAACAGCAGCAGCAGCAAGGCTTTTCTCCTGCCATAGAAAGACAGACTGCCGAAAAGGCTTAAGGTTCGAGGTTCAGGATTTAAGCATTAGGGTTTAGGGTTTAGGGTTTAGGGGTTCGTTCTGCAGCCTTCAGTGGGGGGAGCTGCCGAGCGTTGCAGCAAGCGTGTCTTCCCCAGCAGCAACAGCAGCAGCAGCAGCAGCAGCAGCAGCAGCAGCACGGTCTGCTGCTCTGTGGCTGCTGAGTCGCTCTAGTCTCTTCATGCGTCTCTCTAGTTTATTTGCTGCTCTTCTACATGCGGCGAGTGTGCGTTCTTCCGCCTGCCGCCTGTCTCCTGCTGCTGCTGCTGCTGCTGCTGCTTTGCTGCTGCTGCGTACCAAGCTCGCCGCTGGTGACGGGGCGCGCGGCGAAGTAGCAGCAGCAGCA